GTTACTAATTTGGTTTGCTAGCCACTATAAATAACACTGCATTTTTTGCTTCAAACTTTACAGTCTACTCATGCCGCCGTCGCCTCTCAGCGTCTACTCACCAAACTCCACGTGTACGAACTTTTGCTGGAATTCGACGAATTCTGTGTGGAGTATGTGCTCTCCAGGACAGTACCCTGATAATTTTTGTTGTTGAGTCCTCGACGTTTCTTGTTTTTGCGAAGGCAATTCAATTTTCAACACTCACTTTATTAAGATAAGTGTTAACACCCGAGGAATGTCCGCATGTCCTTGCAGCTCGCAGCTTAAGCGGATTATGAAAATTCTCGAAGAAGAAGAAGAAAGAAGAATTAGGCTGATAACATCATTCCCGGCCTTTCAATTTTTGTGTCTACATCCCCTGCACCCAGTTCAGTTTATGCATGGGAAGAGGCTATGCTTTACTAACCGGAGCCACGCTCAGGTCTTAGGCCCATATTTCAAAGTTGGCAACAAGGACGGTAACATCTAGAGTAGGTTAAGATTACTGAAAATGGATGAGGTTAGAGAGTCGGTAGAAGGAACGGCAAAGGCAGAGGATGAGAACTATTGGCCGTCTCCAAAAACCTTTTCTATCTAACATACACCAATCAGAGTTACCTGCCGCCAGTCAGTCTTGTTAGAATGATACTGAGTTTCATCCTTGCATATGCCGTTACCTTGAGGTAGCTGCGAAGTAGGAGCTTAGAAATACCTTTCTTGGCACTAAGGTTGACGGCCCGACCAATGCATTTTGTAAGTTTATAGTGCCTTACGTGGTAGTCAGGAGACAGGGGCTAGCCGATATCCAGGACACGTTCCTCGCGGTCTTTATGACTGCATCTTCATTCGTCGCCTTATTAGTCGCCTCCATAACCGTGAGATGGGGAGAGAGAGAGATGACGAGAGATAGTATGCTTTATTTTTCGATAATAAACATTTTCGACACGAATGTATCCAGAGCCTTCGGTGTAAATGCCCACGAAAATGCATCTCTCCTGATTGTTGATTCCTACGATTAGTGCACTTCATCATTTTTCCAAAAAACTGCCGACAACCA